GAGCAGCAATCAGACCAGGAGCAGCTGCTGCCAGAGGGAAAAGCTCTGGAGACGGGGGAAAAGCTCTGGATACAGGGGCTGCCCAAGGAGCCACTGCAGCGTGGGTCGAGCTCTCCAGCAGAGCAACCCTGTGGTGAAAGGCAACCTTTTGTGGCAGCCGTGTCCCACAGCTGCAGGGAGGATTCACTGTCTTCTTCTATTTGTTTTCTGGAGTTCATTAAACTAAACTGCCCTGATTCCCCAAATCAGTTTTATTTTGAATTCTAGGAAGATACTACTAACATGCAGTCTGATTGTGTAATTTTTATGCTTTCATAATAACTTATCCTGCAAGTAGTCCCATTGACTCTGACATCCCAAAGACGGGATGATTTTATGACCACAAAGTATGGAAGGCCAAGAAATGGTGCCTCTTCAACCTTCCTTTGTGCTTCTGTGATGGTAATACTATAGTATGGCTTCATACCACTGTCTCCCTCTTGTACCTGTCAAAGACTCCCTCTGTTTTCATATCTGCTGCTGCAAATGATTCACTGTCCATTGCTGGGTGGCTCTGTACCCCTTTCCTGGGAGGTAGGTGAGGAAGATGCCTTCCTACTACATCCATTTTATATTCAAAGACATTTTTATACTTTCCATATTGCCTTTGCGGAGTTTGAAGCTCCAGAACCCAACTGAGGTGGCTCATAAATTCATTTCATGTTGTGAAGATAGAAAAATCCATCTTGTCTTTATGCAGCAGAGAAAGTGAGTCTGCCAGGGGAGCAGGGCCTTACTCACTTTGGGGACAGGCAAGCACCATTGTAAGTTGCATTTTCTTGTTTATATTTGCAAAAATCCTCTCCACTGAAAATACATTACGTATTTGTAACTAGTTATTTGTCTATGCTTATCCATTTACCTATCTATCTCTCATCTAGAAAATTCAGCTAAATTGAAACAATTCTGCTGTCATTGCCTACAACAGGCTATTGCAGCAATAACAGAAAAAATAAGGGATGCTTCTGAGCAGCATTCCTGCAGTATATTGTTTTGTGTTCCCCTCTACAAATAATAGTTTGTCTCCAACATAGGGAGTTAAGGAGCCAGCAAGAAGCGTTAACATTTCATTGGGAATCTATTAATTGCCAGCATTATGCCCAGGGGACAGATGATGTGATATTAATAGGAATACCAGAAACCAATTCTAGCAAGCATGCAGAGATTAATCATCGCCGTTCTTGTCTGCTCTCCTCATATAATAAGCACTTTGATCATGGTCTTCATCCTATGTGGATAGATAACTATTATTTGACAATCTCATTCCCAGTTGCTTTAAAAAGAGTCCAGACTGTAGAAGAAATTATGGCAAAAAAAAAAGCTTTTTTTATTTATTTTGCACTGTTTAAGGTACTACACATACTACAGAGATGTAATTCAAGAGTGAGATGGAAAAATGTAGTTAGGAAACACGGGCTGTGTACCAGTGCCGACAAGCACCGAGCAGTCCTGCCCACAGCAAGGACCCTCGCCGTTTGCAGTCGTCTTTCAGCCGTCTCCCCACCGATCCGGGCATCAACGTTGCTTTAGACCTGCTGCCAATGACAGTTTAGAGCAAAATAGGTGCTAAGCAGAGGTGACTCTAARTGGTCCACCTAGTTAATGTAGTGAGCATGGCTGCTTCTGCATAAAGCCTTTTTTTTTTCTTTTTGGGGAGTAATCAAGTGTGATTTTCTGTTTTTCCTGTCTAAGAGAATATGACAAGAACTATAGCTGAGGGGAAGGAGAATGAAAACTCTGGAGTTGGAGTAGAAATGTGTTTATTTCTCCAGGCAGAAGACTGACTGATGGGCCTGCTGGCTAAAACCCACTAAATTTAATTTTGGGAGCTTACTACTGTAAAATGGTGTTGAACTGAGGCATCCCTGCAGCTGTCCTAGCACTAAGAGAGTGGACCGTTCTTTGCATTTTCACCTKCTGKTTTTTTTTTTAYGTGTGTGTGTCTGCAAATGTGACCTTCTAAAGAAACAGAAGATTTCTTCTCAAGGGACAATTATTAAGAATTTTAGGCAGAGGAATATAAGGGAACAAGCAGATTATGATGATAGAAAGACCTCTATTATCTTCCACAAAAGGTTTTTAGGATAGATCTCTCTGTTCTACTGTAATCATGATTGCTTTTCTTTTCTCTCTGGTGAGGATCTTGATACAGTAAACAAACAGCAATGAGGTTAATAAAGCTTTTTCTAATTAGCATCCAAGAAATAAGTTTTCTTGTTTTATATTCAACATAACCACAGCTATAAGTTAGTCATATAACTGAAGTGGTTTCAAAAGCATAAGCAATCTTCCACAAATGCCCATCCTTGGAAAAAAAATTGATTATGTTGCTATTGCTCTGAGAAATGTCACAGCTAAGCAGAACAATTGCCTTGCCAAAAACATTTACTGTCTAAAATGTAAACTGAAGAGTCTGAGAAAAAGGAAAAAAAAAACTTACTTTTTTTTTTTTTGAAATTCACTTAAAGACAGCCAGTGTTTTTATTTGTTCCCCCCTTTTAGCTAAATCATTATTTTTCTTTACCATGTTTCACATATAAAGCAACTTGCATACCAAAACCATGTCTCACACAACCCAGGAGCTGAAAAGAAGAAGAGAGATTATTGGTATTGATTTCAATACTATTAAACCAGCAGGTTCTTTTTCCTTTATTTTGGTAAGATAATAATTCTTATAAATTCTATTTTATTACAGAACTCTGTCTGTACACACTTTATGTTACAGTCCCACTATATATTCCCTAAAATATTTGAGTAAGCTAAGTAGTGGTAAAAATGGAGTCTTTCTTAGGRCTCTTTTTTTTCTAATCTCAATAAGGGAGAAAATGATAATAGACTTGAAGCTACATCCACATGCAATTCTGCATCCCATTCCAAAAATTTACCTTTGTATAGTATTCCTGTTAATGTTGTGTTATCATCTAGCTAGCTCAAATAAACACACTACAAGACTGGTATAGCAGAATTCTTCAATGTGTCTGCAGAAATACACATTCCTCTCACAAACAAAATAAAACCCTCACCTTTCTAGAAAAAGCATGTTTGAAACAAACTGTGTAGGGAGAATCATAAATCTTAGGGGAAAATTCTTCAAAAGAAAAATCCACTTAGCTTTCAAAGATACGGTGTATTTATGGAGAAACCATTGCTGCCCAYGGCTGGTACATCTTTCTTGAGAGAGGAGAGAAATTGTGTTTGAGCTAATGCATTGAATATTAATACTATAAGACTCAGAGTTGAACATTGCTATATAAAATACGCATACCCTACCCTTCTCCTCTACTGTTTACATATTCAGATGGGTATAGATTGTACATCTATAGAAAGATAAATTACAGTTGCTTAAAATGTGTCATCTATCCTCTTCTGATAGAATATGAACCTGACTATGCACCTCGATATACACCAAAAYTCTGGGACAGATGATCAGGGATATGATCTCCTTCAGTTTTTAAGAGAGAGACAATGTTTAGCATGATTATGGGAACATCAGGTACTAAGGCAAGTGCTTGCATGAGCAAGCAGCACCTCAAATCTGCAGTTAAAATTGGTTTGTATCCAGGGCACATTAATCAAGTGCTTCTCTGAACAAGGAACAAATGGTAACATTTCCTGGTCACATTTTCAAAGCTATTTAGGCACAGTGCACACAGCACATGATGTTGTCTTTCTACATAGCCCTCTCAGAGGCTTCCTAGGAGAAAGGACTGTGGTCACCAGGATAGTRTTAATGACTGCATTTGCATATGTGCAGATCCCAAGGTCTGGGACATTCATGATCCCAAGGTCTGCAGGATGGGATTGCTGTTGTGCTGGCTGCTCCAGGGACTGAGACTTGGAAACATTTATTGAAGCACTTGGGTCTGAATTGCTTTGGCCAGTGGGTCTTGCAAACACCTCCTCAGGGGAACACATCCCATTGGAACACAGTGGAAGTCCTAAAGGTGCTTTTCAAAGTGTAAAGCAGGGATGAGAGTGAGCCCTGGCGCTTGCAGTGACCGGGCTCTGCTGCTCCTTGCTGGTACGAACCAGACTGTAGCCAAATGTCTTAAAGAGGCAGCCCCAGCCCAGAAAGAGTGTTTCTGCATGTCCAGATTACAACAGGGCAGAAATGAAATTGCTTTGAAACAAAAAAAAAAAAAAAAAAAAAAAAAAAAAAAAGCTTTATTGCAATTGCTATACTGCAACTGCTGTTAACTCCTGTTAATGCTACAGAGGCTACTTCCATCTCCAGATTTTAAAACAAAATTGCATATGGGAGGCAAACCAGCAGTCTCAAGGTTTAGCGTGGAGCTTGGCCCTATACCTGGGCTAGTGTATAAATGCAAGGGTTTGTAGCTACAAGCAGTAACAAATAACACAAGTGTTTTACAAGCAGCACTGATGCTGGAGCACAAGTATAAATCYGTGTCTGTTCCTAGAGAATAAGAAGTTTTGGGTTCTCTGGAAAAGGAGAATGAGTTTGGGATATGATTTTCCCCTTGCAGAGAAGGTGTAGAGCTTTTCTTTGAAAGACAGAAGGATGAACTGATGAATTTTTTCTTCTTTTTTTCTTGCTRAAGTAGTCACTCTGTCCTGATCAAGAAAACGATACTGCAAACTGGAAACAAAATGAAAGGAAGGTGCAGGCTGTATCCAAGGCCAATGCAAGGTGTGAAAGCCAGTTAACAAGGAGAGATGATCGCCTAAGGGTGTGTGGCGACAGGCTCTGGATTTCACAGCGCTGCAAGCCCTGRAAATGGTGCCCGTTAGCCCAGACATCCCCCTTGGGCCTGTCMCAAATGCCCTGTCTCCCGTTGCAGGGCCGCGCACGCCGGTGGGCAGAGGCRTCGCGGTCGGGCGGCTCCGGGGAGCAGGGCCGGTTCCTGCCCCGCCTGCCCCACTTGCTACATGCCGGGCCCGCGGGCATGTGAYATATAAGAGAGCACCGAGGCGGGCCGGGCATGTGGCGGCAAGCGGCCATGGAGGCGGAAGAGGCCCCGGCGYCGGCCAAGGTGTCGCTGCGGACGCCCAAGTGCTCGCGGTGCCGCAACCACGGCTTCGTGGTGCCGGTGAAGGGCCACGCCGGGCACTGCCGCTGGAAGCTCTGCCTCTGCGACAAGTGCGCCCTCATCACCGAGCGCCAGAAGATCATGGCGGCGCAGAAGGCGCTGCGGCGGCAGGCGCCCGACCCCCCACCCAGCGACGCGCCGGGCCCTGCGGCACCAGCCAACGGCCCGGGGGCGGCCAGCGGCCCCGAGCAGGGCGGCGCGGTGGCCAAGGGCACCCCGGCCGCTGGCGGCAGCGGCAAGAGCATGGCGCGCCGCGGGGCCCCGCTGCCGCCGTCCCCCGCCGGCGCTGCCCTCTGGGACTACGGTAAGGGCCGATCCTTGCTCTGCTTCCATCCCGCTGCTATTCCAGGCTTACCAGGGTGGGAGACAAAGCCAGCGGGAAGGAATTTGGGAGGGAAACACAGAGTGTTGTTGGCTGCGCCACGGCCAGCAAGGCACTCATGCCCATTTCCCTCCTGGTTTGTAATTTCCCGGACACATCAACAAGAAAAAGCACTGAGCAACAGCAAGGAAATGGCGAAGTCACTGCTGCACTTGCCCAGAGCGAGCGTTTTATGATAGCACCATAAAAGCAGGAGACCTTTTGGCCCTAATTCCTGCAGCAAAGGCTTAACTTGGCGTGGAGCACTGGGAGTAAAAGCGCGTTTGTGTTTAGGAGCTCGGCATAGKTTTTGCAGATGGAAAAGGTGTATGGTCTGTCACCTCTTAAATTGCTTCCTTTAATAGAGTCTTTCATGTGACTTGTCTAGTCTATTACTATTTATTATAGTAATTTCATACTATTACTGTTTTCTATAGTGGTTTTACGGAAATCCCTACAGACGGCAGCAGCCATTAGCCCAGCTCTCTGGAGGGCTGGCAGTCCAGAAGACAAAGAAAACGCTGGTCTGAGAAGCCTAGAGAAAAGGGTCATTTCAGACATCTCTAGTTCCCACCTAATCTGTTCCATTTATTCACCTTGGTTTCCTAAGGAAATGAGGCTTATGGTTCATGCTGGCTCTACATGTGCCTGTTAGTCTTTCCCTTAATAACATTTTTAACCTGTTGACCAATTTCAAGCAGGGTTAGAGGCAAACAGCAGAATGATAGTTCTGGTTTATTCCAGTAGGTTTATTACAGAAGCAAGCCTTCCACTCCTATATCAACAGCAGGATGTATAGACAAGAAAGGCTCTATTCATTTACATACAGTCCCTTTTTTTCAGACATCAGGGAAGCCACATTAAGAGTTCAGACACAAGATAAAAACTCAAAGGACTTTAATTAATTCTTGCACCTGCAACTCTCCCTTTGTGTCGAGGAAGCTAAAATTAGCTCTTCTCTGAAAATTAACTTTGGAAGTACAGATGGTACTGAATTTAGAGCTCTACAGTATTTCTATAGACCTTTTATGTTTCTGTTTAGTTTTAGTTTTAGTTTTAGTTTTGGTTGATTTAAGAGTCAAGGTAATTTATTTTCTCCTGCTGTTGCATATATACTTATATATGTTGCATATATATATGCATATATATGCATATATATGCATATATAACATATACATATATATGTTGCATATAAAAAGAAGACTGCAGTCAGGGCTTTACTAGGGACTGACTGACTTCCCAATGCATAAGGCAGAGGAGACTGCAGCTCATTCTGCAGTGTTAGGATTACTTGCTGCACCTTTTCTTAGTTTCTTAAAAAGATCACAAAAGAAATTCCCYGGGGTAAAAGTGAAACAAAAGGGCCAAATTGTCCTGGCTGGAATTTGACCCTGAAGCTATTTCTGGTGAATTCCACAGTGATGCTTTTAATTATTTCTTTCGAATTTTTTCCTAGCTCACCGAACTTTTCCTCCTGAATACGTGGTTAACCCTGAGTACTTGGAGAGAGAACCTCTGAAGGTCTACCCTGGGCGTTCTGGGGTGTATCCTTACCACCCCTTTCCCGTGGGATTTGCTATCAATCAGTCAGGCTGTAGGGGAGCACCATCACCTCCAGGGATATCCCTTCAAAGAGGCTTCCGACACATTCCCAGCAGCTATGGGCCCGGCAGTGCAACATCTCTGTCAGTAAGTCGTGGTCTTTTGGATTACCTTTGGAAATACTGTTCTCTTTATTTTCAGCTGCCTTCTTGCTGTTAAAGTAACCATGAAAAGTTAGCCGCTTATCAGTAACTTCACAGGATCTTGATACATTACACTGAAGAAAAAAAAAAGCAAATAGTAATGCTAAAAGTCTGACCTGAACCGCAAGTACCAAACCCATGCAGTTGTGAGGGGACAGGTTTTGTATTCAGACGCTTAAAGCTCCTGCTGATTTCCACAGACTTTTAGGAAGATGGCAACTGGTCACTATCATAGTCCTTTGTGCCAGCGTATGTGGCACAGATTGATTTTCTATTGGGAAAAGTGTTAAACAGAAAATTGAGATGGTATTGAGGGGAATGGACAGGTTTTGGAGGTAAGGGAAGTCTTTCAGGAGAACAAATCAGTATCACTAACCTAGACTCCTTGGCTGAGTTCAGCACTTTGCTTCAGTGCCTGTGAAAGCTGAGGGTGGCAAGTAAAATACCCAGCTGAGAGACAAACCAGGGCAAAGCCTGGCCCACACCTTCAGACCACAGGGAAGAGGCATGAAGCAAGATCCTAAATGACCTGTCAGCTGTAACAGTGTGTGTGGACACTGAGTTCCCTTCAGTGCTGTCAGTCCTCTTGCTTTAAACTGCTGGTGTCCAGTCTTTGTWGCACTCTTGGGCACATTACCAGATTTCCATCTGCCCTGAACACTGTTGATCAACTCCTGTTAAGACAGAGTGTTCTGCCTCAAGAGTACCAGATTTATTATGCTAGCACAGGAAACCTCCGTCTACATTTTAGGGGTTGCTGAAAGCAAAAGTGGATAGAAGCAGCCTGAGGCCCAGATAAATTACCCTGGACAGCTGGATATGGCTGCCCACATAGGTTGGGCATTCCTTCTTTAGGACATCACTGTCTGTGGTTTTGAACTCAGCTTTTTAATGGCCCTGGAACAGACAGGAAACTCTCATAACAGTTCAGTGTGTGACCTGAGACATGGGTGCATGCCCAGATTGAAGAGAGAAGTGCTCCTATTTTTCTGCATGAGTTTCGGCATGAAGAAGCCTAGGCCTGGGGGAAGTCTGTGTGCAGACCTGCCCCTCAGAATAGGGAATACAGTTCATTGGGCTTAGGGACCAAGACCCTGCCTGAAAACTGCCTGATCTGCTCAGTGCCAAGTGCTCCAGGTAAGTGATGAAGGTGAGGTGCCCTTGCTTAAACTATATGGTCTGATGAGACACCAAAACAGATGACAAGTACTCACAAGGGCAGTTTAAGCTCAGACATGGTCTGAGAAGCTGCTGTTTCTTGGTTCCTGCTTGTAGTGTGGACAGGCTGGGCACTTCTTAAGATGCACGTGGATTTGGCAGCACCTGACAGCACAACAGAGACAAAAACAGGACATTTACAGGTCAAAATCAAGTTTGAAATGAATACTGTGAACATGCTGTGCAGACAGTCTCTGATGCTTTATGTGTTTCTGCAGATTCCAGATGGAGGTGGAGATTTTCATCAAGGATATTACACTCCTCTGCCTCAGTTTATTCCACCAAGTTTCCTGCCAGGGATTCATTACGTTCCACCTCCTCTTCCAATCAATGTGTTGACTGAAACAACCAAGGAAACACGGGGTAAGCAAGTATGAGATGTGCCCGAAGAGTGCCATTTTTAACCTGGATTCAGCCCCTAAACTTGGAGGTGGAAGCCCTGAGAAACCCATTTGAGCTACAGTTCTTGGAGTTTAGAATATTTCAGAATATTTCAGAATATTTAAGGTTGGAAGGGACCTCTACAGATCATCTAGTCCAACCTTCCTGCTCAAGCAGGCACACCTAGAGCATGTGGCACAGGGTGGCATCCAGGCGGGTTTTGAAGACCTCAAAACCCACATCTTGGAGTTTCAGGACTGAGATCCTGGACATGCCAGAATGGCTTGCAAGCTAGTGCAAGCTCTGGGTAGGGCTGACCTAGGGAAAGCAATCTGGCKTCCGGGGTCTCTAGCTGACAAGCACCAGCATCTCATGCAGAGAGAGAGGTCCCAGGACTCGGGCTCATTCCAGAGTGGGATCTGCTGATGTTCACAAAATGAAAATATTTTTCTAAGCACCCAGTTTGCTGGATTAAAAAAAACAAAAATATTTGGGTCTCCTGCAATTTAGACTAAATGTTAAAAAAATGCAGACTAACACCATCAGCAATATGGAATTTCTCACTCACTTGTAAATCCTACATTTTAACTGATAGAAATAAGAGATAGAGTCTTGAAAATTATCTTGTTGATACTGCATTTCACAATATTTTAGATTTTTGGTATAGATAAGTTTTTTTACTCTTTGGGTCTCTTTTCTGTATTGGGTCCACATGTGGCTGTATCTATAATTATATTCTAAGTTTTTCATTTTTTTTGCAGCTAGTTGTGACCACAAGAGGGTAGAACTGCTCAAAAATTAACCAGAAGCACTGGATGAGTGAATAGTCTGTTTTATTTTAAATTCTTTTGGAAAATAGAGATATATAAATAGGGCACTTTTTTTCACTTTTGAGACATGGAAATAAGAAGTTGTACATATGACTGTTTACCAAATTGCTGTCATCACCCAGTGAAAAATCAAATTTGCATAAGAAGGAGGAGTGTAATTGTCTCATTTGAATTTAAAAACTAGCAATTGTGGTTAAATATGTGGGACAAGATATAAACTGGGTATTTTTTTTTTTAGCCTGGCTTCTCATGAAGATAAGGCCACTGCAGTCTCATTTTGTGTGTCAGTTCCTCATAACATGAAGCCAAGGAAAATCAAGCTTGGCATGGAGAGGATAAGGGAAATAGGAAGACTATGGCAGCTTGGAGGGTGAATAGACATTGTGGAAATGTGAACTTGTTTAGAGATACTGATAAATGTGTCAGGATTTTAACTCAGTGTTTAGAAGATAGTGGGGGCCTGGAGGTGCTACAGGATTTGCTCAGTATGAAGGGCAGAGAGGAAGGTGAGGATTGGCAGGCAAAACAAAGTGGACACAAGGATCAATGGGYTTTGTGGTCCAGAGAGGACAGAAGATCCTGTCAGAAGCTAGTGCAGTGGTAGAAGGCTGTATGTCATCTAGAGAGATGCAGGTATAGAATCATAGAACCATTATGGTTGGAAAAGACCTTCAAGATCATCAGGTCCAACCGTGACCCATCACCACCCTGCCTGCTAAACTGTGTCCCTAAGCACCTCCTCAACATGTTTCTTGAACTCAGCCAGGGATGGTGACTCCACTGCCTTCCTGGGCAGCTTGTTCCAGTATGATGTGGGGAGTGTGGAACTTGGAAGGAATTGGGGCAGTGGGTAGAAGGAGGCACATGGAGGGAAGTGGAGGTATGTACCATGAGGAAAAAAGAAGATCCAGCACTGTATTGGTGAGAGAGAGGTCCTAGTGGCCAAATAATCATGAAAATAGGCAACTGATTAGAGAGGAGTCGTCAGAGCACCCCTCATACAGAGCAAAATGCCACTTAGTGACCTCAGCCCTTATTACACACAGGGAAAACCACCACCCAGGCACAGAGCCTTAGGAAACAGTGCATCCTGTGTCCCTGTGCTCAGAGAACAGCCCCATTCTCTTGGTATGAGGGAAGAAGCACAAATTAATTCCACAACATTGTAATATTTTTGCTTCAGGATATGTAGAAATTAGCTGATTGTGACTCAGTGAAAGGGGGGCATATTTTCTGCATGAGGTGTTATACAAAATAGCAGTCAAAGCAGAAGATACAGATGAAGAGAGAAGCTACAGTGAAACTAAGAAATCTTTGATTCTGTTTTTCGAGACACATCTTGAAAAAAAGGGGAAAGGTGTAACCTTTAGTGCGTAATGCCATCGTGTTGTGTCTGTTTTCCCGAGAAAGGAACTGATTCAAACCTGCCATTAGACATCTTGTCTCCCAAAAGACCTCAAATTGAGGCAAAATGGGCTCTCTGGCAAAACAGTTACAGGAAAATGGTTATAGAAAACTAGTACTGGTGGGAAGAAATGTCTGTGATCTCTTGATCTCTGCCTCAGAATGGAATCTGTGATGAAGACAGATTTAAAAGAAAAAACAAGACTTCTCTTAAAAAGTTTTCCCAAGGCTAAGAGCAGCTGCTAGAAGAGTTTGAGTCAATAGTTGACTTGCAGCTGAATGATTGAGGTCAGCTAGGTTTACAATAGTGATTTGAAGTACAGGCTGTGTGGTTATGCAATTTCATGCCATATTCACTAGCAATGATATGGAGATTTTACAAAATAAATGCAAGGTATGTCCAGTATGGCTACCAGCATAGCATCTSATTGCAGGTTACTGGCTTTCTAAAAGAAAAAGCCATGGAAAAAAAATCCCCCAAATCTCGTTCTCCATGCGAGGAAAATTGCAAACCGGAAAAATGCAAATCTCCAGTTGGATTTCAGGAGGTGATTATTCAGTCAGTCAAGGCCTTTGTGAATTCAGAGGGTTCAAAACGCATTGCATAAYCCCACTGCTGTTCAGTGAGCAGAACAGTTTGCCTTGTACTTCTATTCCAGCCCAGCTTGCCATCTTGAAGCCCTCTTGCTGCATTTCTTTAAGCATGGCTGGAACAACAATTGCCATCTGAAGGGCAGTATCTTTGGAGAACTGTAGCTCTTCATGTCAACCACCTTTGAATTATCTGAGTTGAAAGACTGCATTTACAAAAGTAATTTTGCATTGATTGTTTATCTCTGGAAATGTGATTGACATGGTGTGCAATGCAAATTGAAATCAAGATGGGGGTGCTTTTTGTTTGTTTTTTTTTTCTTTTATTTACTTGTTTTTAACCTTGTTTTCTGTTCTTGTCCTTTTTTTTTTCAGCTACAGCAGCTGACAGTCAGGATTCAGAGGTGGGCTGTGAACGTGCCCAGCTGTCTTGCCCGGAAGAAACAGACAGAGATCAAACTGCATACCCTAAAAATTAAATGGCCTGGAGAAGACCTGAGTAGCAGGCAACACTGTTTTCACTGCTGAGGGGATTATTGATTAATAGGGGTGTAGAGCAACACTTAATTAAGTAACACTTAATGAGCAGCCACATCAGCTGGAAGGAGATCAGTTTTCTGCATCACTTTATGATCATGTTAGAGCTATCAGCATCACAGCTCTACCCTTCCTCCTTAAGCAGGAAGAACCAGCAGAAAATTACAACTCTAAGGGCTGGTTCCGCTCTTGAGGCTGCCTCATACCTCTCTGCCACACACACTCCGGGTAGCCTTCTCCTGCTCACAGCAGTGGTCAGAAATGTGTTGTTTCTATATCTATTTGCTGTAAAGAAAACCTGGTTCTGAGGAAGTTCTGAGTTAAGTGATGCAGTGCCCAAAGATGGGGTAAGAGAGCATGGAAGACAGTCTGGATGCTGATTGACATGACTGATCAGGAACATGATTCCTTGGCGGTCCTCACGCAGAGGCAGTAGCAGATATTTGGTACACTTGTCAAGGAGGGATTGAGAGGGATTTGTGGAAAAGCCTGATCATCTCTGCTGAAATCCAGTACCTCCTCACTGTTTTTCAGGTTAACTGCCTTTAGGGCATCTTCCCTTCAGGTAGGGGATAGACTATTTGGAATCACCTCTTACTACACAGGATTTTGAGTGCCTGTGATGGTTTATACATTATTTCTATGATGCTTAACTCAGTACAACTGAATAAACACTGCTCTTTGATTCTGTAGGACTCAGGTGGGCAGCTAAATGCCAAGATTGGAAGTGTACTGAGGTTGGAAGTGTACTGTGGTGTATCAGAAGAGTGGGAGAGAGAGACTAGGAGGCTCTAKTGCAAAACACCATTTAGAATGGTAATTAGCTAAACCCATAAATGTTGTATTTTTCGATGATAATGTTTAGATAAAAATGAAAGGTGCTTACCTCTACTGTTTAGCTGTAAGGAACTGTTTTGTATTAAGTGAATCTAGTTGTTAATGTTTGAATAACTTTAGGAGAACTTTTGAATAATTAAAAATGATATATTAAATTGTTCATACAGTTTTGATGATATGAGGCTTGTGTATCTACATGTAAGTTTTCTAGGCAAATTTCAGATGATCTCCTGAACAGCTGTGTGTAACAAGCCTGACTGCAAAGAGATTTAGACTTCAGTATTTTTCTCCTACATCAACTGCTGCTGTAGAGGTGAGAAATAAAAATATTCTTCTTTTCTGTTGCTTACAGTAATAATCCCTTGCTCAGTGCAAGATATAAAGGAATAGTATTAAGCTGAAAAAAACAGAGTACCTAAAGGTAGTAGATGATCTGCTGGAATGTTTCCCCTCTGGGATGACTTGCGGCGCACAGACAGGGCTTTTCAGGGGCAGTGAGTAGAAGGGGCACACTTAAAATTGCCAGAAAGAGAAACTAAAAAACACATGTACCTGTAACAAATAATCTGATGTAGAACTTGTTAAGTACTAGATTTACAACAGATTGCAGCTCCCAMGAGTGTCCAAACCTTCTCTCAAAAATTGCTGTGTGCTTGGGAAAGTCTGAATACTTCTTAAAGGTGTCTGAATGGAGGTAAAGCTATTTCAAAATAAAATCATCTTTGAATTGAAACACCAGCAACACCCACAAAGCAGGTTCTTCTGTGGATGGAGTTATATAACATAATGATTTAAGGAAATTGTAATGCACGAGACTGAACAGTTGAATAGTCTCTTTCCCAGATATTTTTCCAAAGTCATAATCGGTGTTGCTTTACACTCTTTAAATCTCAAGATGGACTCCAGCCCAWTTCACTGACTGTAAAGCACAGTCATTGCAGGTATTCTGCATATATACTGTCCTTTTTTTTTCTCCTTTTGCTGTGCTTCCAGTGTCTGCTTCCAGATTGTCAAGCCAGACTCTTGGCCTTTCTCTTCCTCCATGTCTTGGAGCCATCTATTAGTGAACCAAAACCTTTGCTTTGGGTTTGGATCATGATATSGTTCTCTGGTAGGACTTGTGCATTGCTGCAGGTCAGTGTTCATCTCAAGAGGGATGAAGTAGCTTTAGAGAGCAAAAAGGCAACTAATCTGAATGAGGAAAAGCGACAGCTGCTTTAAAGAGGAGAGCCTAACACTGGACTCTTCAGACTAGAGCGGAGAAAGTTGAGATGAGAAACTGTCCAAGTTCTACAGCACTGTGAACACTGGGTCGAAGTAAATGCAAAACTATTATGAAAATTTGTTATGATAGACCTAYTTCCATACACATCCAGGGCAAGAAGGTGGCTGGGAACAGGGCAAATCATGCCTAGCCAACCTGATTGCCTTCTGTAATGCAATGACTGGCTCTGTGGAGAGGTGAGAGCAGTAGCAGTCACCTTCACTTTGGCAAGGCTGTTGAGATGGTCTTCCATGGTACCATTCATCTGGACTCAAAGAAAGTAGCTGTCAATAGTCTAAAGCTTAGTAACTGCTGGGCAGTTAAAATTGGCTTTCCTTGTAGGTAATTGTTTGGTGTCATCTTCAGATTTTTACATTTGGAGAAAATTGTCCCCAAGTTATTTTGCACTTAACTTTATCTTGAAAGATTAATTAATTGGTAGAACCTGAAAGTTTGTAACTCCCCAGCCAACAGGGAGGATTATTTTAGGTTGGTATGACAGGTTTCCATTCTTCCATGTTAGGCTCAGCTTGCTGTTTTTAACCAAGGGAAAAAACGTGCCTTTACAAGTAGTATTTTCATATTGTGTGCCTAAAGACTTCCAAGCAAATAATTTTAATTCCAAACTTAGTGCCAACCAGTGTTTCCAGTGATTAAGCTCTGTGATCTCTTCTGACTCCATTTATTTAAATAAATTACTTAGGGTTTATGAAATCATTTGGATTGAAATGGAATGATTTGGATTGGACCAGTCAGTTGGTCTTCCAATCTAAATCAACCTAGATTTTTTATTTTATTTTATTAAGGCTGAAGCCACGTATAGTTTGGTCAAATTCATAAAACTAGAGGACAAAAAGGAAAGTTAGCTATGACATCTGCTCCTGAAATCTTTCCACATGCAAGCTACTGCTGACTTCAGTAGTAATTCTGCATATAGCATTTACATCATCATTATTACTTGATTTCTTTCTTCAACTGCTTTGCTGAATAGCTCTGAATTTCTGAAGATGTGGTTCCTAATGTCTGACACTTCTTTCAGTCCTCTGTCCTCACTGCAAGCAGCTGGGTCATCACAGAACAAGTATTATTTGTACGCTGAAGGAGAAAACCTAAAATTAGTAGCCAGTTCTTTAAAGCTTACTCACACCACTAATTTCATTGCTTCCACTGGAATTATTTGTAAGGGTACAGAGCTGACATGTTAGTTAGGTATGCAAGCTTAGGCTCCAAGTTTTACACAGAGGTGTCTGTGACACTGTCCAAAACCTCAGATTATTGTAGATTTGCATTTTCTGCAGGAGCTTTGGAAAAAAAGAAAACAAACCCAAGGGATTCTAGAAGGATCACGTAATATGTCCATTCTGCAAGCATATGTGAGACTCATTTGTCATTGCCCCAGAGCAAACTGCAAGATGTTAGCATTCTGTGGTATTGCTTTCTACATCTGGACTGAAGCAGGTTTTCGTATGACAGTAATTATAATATTAACTCTCACTAGTTTTTTTTTTTTTCCTTTTCTTCTTGGAATTAGATGCGCCCAATTGGAAACCTCTGAATCCACAGCAAGACTATAGTTGTTTTTTCCACATTAATRAGTAATTAATTTTGAACAGAGATCCAAAGAAATATTTAACTGCCTACCAATAAAGTCAGTTTGCTGCAAACAAAATTCTCCCTCCCCTTAAAAAAATAATTTTCGTGACAGAAAAATTATGATGTGAAACATACCTACTTTGGAACAGTGGAAACTTTAATTAAATCATTCTTATGGGCAAATAGGTCTGATTTTCCTATTTTTGCCCTGTATTTTACTACTGCAATATTAGCATTAGTCACAGAGACTCTACTCTTGCCAAAATGTAGAAGAGGAATGAAATTTAGAGAAAAACCTTGTGGAATCTAGTCCTGAAATGGGGGTGTATCTGTGTATTTGGTTGTAGCCATCATGGGAGCACCAGATTCCTCACAGTTGGCCAGACCTTGATGTGTCCATTCATCCCCAAACCCCATGCATTTTACTTGGCGTGAGTATCCTCAAGGTCTGTCTTGTCAGACACGAGCAAGGTGTGCAGCAACTAGGCTAGAACATTTATGGGGGAAAAAAGAGCAAAAAAAACCACAGCAGGTTTATCGTCTTTTATTTGTAGCATGTACGACTTTCCTCTTGTTTTCCCCTGTTGTCCTTCCAACTTGCATTTCTGATCTTGGCCTCCTCAGCTGTGCAACATTAATGGTGAACTTGCTACTGGCTTTGTAGCAATCCGGCTCTAATTATACATCAGTTCTGATCTCACATTGCCTTCACATTTATTTCATGCAACTGTCTTTAGTGGAAGCATTTCTGGTTTCATTTACTAATTACTTTCAGCATTTTATAGTCCTAATGGTACAATCTACTCAAAGGTGTCCAAGCCACATAAGCTAGGACAAATCCAAAACATTTATTTTTACAAAATGTGGTTTAAATAACAACCACATGCAGAGTTCCCTGGGAGAACCTTTCTTATTTTTTTTTTCTGTTTCCCATTAAGAAATGTGTTCTTTTGATCAAGGTGCAAGTGGACTATTTTTTATATTTTTCATTAGTAAATATGCAGTTACATTCTAATAATTCAGAAGTCCGATGTACCTGCAGATAATTGGTTTTTTGTTAATTTTTTTTTTTTTACATTCCCTTCCTCATTTACCATCTCACATTTTCAAATGGGGATTTTGAGGATTCATGGGATTTATTACTCTTATTTTAGAACAAGACTTAATGAGGTTTCTACCACTTTGGATAGCAGGGCCAATATAGAAACTAATCACTTTCTCTCTTGAAGTTACATTAAATAATAACAGAAAACCACCTTTCTAGCCCAAATCTTATACTAACATTGGTAAAAATGCAATCCATGGCTAAGCTACTTTTTRCCTTTCCTTGGTCTTTCACCCAGGTCTCAGTGTGCAGCAGCCCGTACTCTATTAAGTGTGACCTGGCCTCATTCTTCCCCCTGCTTTGGCGCTTGCAGAGAGACTTCTGCTGAAGACCAGTTTTCCCACAGTGTTCACTCAGCATCCCAACTCGTTCACATCTTTAGTAAGATCTTGTTTCAATGTATTAAGGTATTTTGTCTCAAATTTGGATTTTCCTGCAGATGGATACCAGCACACTTAACACTCCTTCACCTCCATAGAAGAGAAGAAATTCACTTTGAGGTATCAGAACAACCTGGAAAGTTGATTTTGACCAAGTAAGATGCTACCAGCACATTTTATGTTTCAAGGACTGGGAAAGGCAAGAGGGTACTGACAGGATGCTGTTACCTCAAAATATAATCCCAAAGCAGGTCAGGACTGGCTCTTCCCTAGCATCTCATAGCTGCGGGTGAGTCTCCAGCTCCTCTTGGACTCTTGGGCTGCTTTCTGATACCAGGTGCCACATGGGATCTCAGCGTTGCCCCGACAGTGCAACAGGTCCTTGTCGGTGGCATGCAGGAAGAAAAACACCCCTCAGTGTTTGGCCTCATGTTGGCTCGTACTCTAATGTGTGCTTTTGAACACTTGCATAAACAGTAAACAACTGCAATTTAAAATAGAATTTTAGAAGGCATTTATAACCTCTTTCTTCCTGATGTAAACCAACCTGTACAGCTGGCTAAGCGTTAAAATTCTTGCTYTCAGGATATTTTTGCCATTTTCAAAAAGTCTCAATTTAGCTTAAAAACAACAAATGAAAACACTTAAGATCTAAGCATATACATATATACATATATTTGAAGCAATTCAGCACATTTTGTTTTGGTTTTGGATTACTTGGACTTGCATTTGTTGACTAAAAATTAGGCCAAATGTTAGCCCTGTGAAGCTTATGTTTATTTGTGTTGAACCTAATCTACAAGAATATTCAAGGTCAAATGAAATTTGACCCTTCCAGACCAATTTAACACCATAACAAAGGCTGAATCAGTTTGATTTGTTTGCACCAATTTCCCAGTACCAAGTTTCCAAAGAGAAACTTGAGAACAAGACAGTTGACCAGCGGTGCAGATTATTAACAGGGTTTCTGTTAATCAAACCTAAGGCAAGTACACAGATTCTCTAATAGAAATGGAAGCGAGTGCAATGAAGACATCGCTGGAGTGAACATGGTCTCTCCCATGCACTAGGTCAGYAGAGAGGGTAGTTACTGCCCTTGGTGTCAGAATACGCTAGTTGACTGGAGCTCAGGTCTTGCCTTTTAGGACAGGCACATCTACATCTGTCTGCTAAGGAACTGSTGCCCTAAGAAAGGGCAATATAGTGAAAATAATGCCCTGCAGGGCA